GGAGAACTAGGGGTGGGTGGGGAAGACTAGGGTAAGTGGGGAGTAGGGGTGGGGTGGGGGAGAATTAGGTGGGGTGGGGAGGACTAGGTGGGTGGAAGAAGACTAGGAAGATCAAGGAAGGGTAGGGAAAGCGGAGGAGGGTTTCGGGTCAACGTTGGGGTTACCTGAAGGCAGTATAGGTCTAGACGTGTCGGTAGGGAAACAAACTAGGAGTCCTGAGGAATGCTAGGATGGTGTGCTGGGAGTTCCTAGGGGAGGGGGAGGGAGGGAGGGAGGGTGTATCTGGCTCGGGGCCATGTGGCAGCCAGCCAGCCAGCCAGCTCACTACAGTGTTGTCAGTGCTACAAGTCCACCTGTCATTTGTACTCAACTACAGTGTTACCAAGGTTTTTTTTTTGTCACCCGTGTAATACGAGTTTACAATATAGGTTACAGATAAAATAAAAAGTATATATATAGATACAGGATACAGTTATGGGTATAAATACAGGTTTTTGTATTTAGTAAAACCTCCATATAACGAACTTCTCTCTATATATAATCCGTTAGATGGGGAGGGGGGGATCATATCAACTGAATTCTCGATATAATGAACTTTCATCTCTATATTGTCCGTTAAAAAGAGGGTTTCATTGTACCTATATTCTGTAGATACAAGTACAGGTACCATTACATATAGGGGTACACAGGTACAAGGCTAAATAATGGTACAGTCACAGGTACACGTATATACAAGCCCTAAATACATACACATATAAATGCATAGAAAAAGTGAATGGAGACGGGGTGTACTCACAGAACCTTGAGTCGTGGCAGGAAGACGTCAAACAGCGAGGGCGGGAGAGAGGTGAGCCGTGGGGCCCGGTTGATGTATCTGGGGAGAGATATAACCATGTCATTACCAGGTCATCACAGGTCACCGCAGTAACACTAACATGTCACTATTAGATCACCACAGGTCACCATTGGGTCATATCCAGGTCATCACCAGGCCACTACTAGGTCTGTACCAGGTCATCATCAAGTCATCACCATGTCAGTATTAGGTCATCAAATCACTACCAGGTCATCACCAAATCATCACCAGGTCATCACCAAATCATCACCAAGTCTCATTTCTATCTGTATATAAACATACAGACATTGATTATACAAGTATTAATATCTCTCCCAGTCTCTCTATTTCTCACTTTATCTCTCTATTCCTCTGTGTCTATCTCTCTCTCTCTTTGTCTATATGTATGCCTGTCTCTCTATCTGTCTGTAGCACACACACACACACACACACACACACACACACACACACACACACACACACCCCTTGATGCGAAGATAGGTCATATTAGTGAAGGTGTCTCTTTCCAATCTTCCTGAGCTGTTTCACCTCTCTCAGATCCTGCTTGGAAGATGACGTCTAATGAAGAGAGAGAGAGAGAGAGAGAGAGAGAGAGAGAGAGACAAAAAAGAAATGAACAAAAGAGTAGAATAAGATGAACTTGATAGGTGGAAAGAGAGATAGAAAGAGAGAGAATAAGAAACCAATTATCAGATACAATTAGAACTAGAAGGACAATGATTAGAATTAGACATAGAAGGAAAAAAAACAATGATAATAAGATGGAAAGGAGGAACAAGAAATGAAATGCAAAAAGGTTAATAAATGATACAAGTGTTCTGGAGTCCGTCGGTTGGAGGCGGCCTTGAAGGTGCTACTCCTACAAGGTTAAGGTAAAAAAAAAAAAGTCAAGTCCAGGAAATGCTTCTACCACGACACTAGGCACCATCTGTGAACTGCCAAGAGGGATTCAAGAGACTGGTGCCCTGGAGTGAACAGCTGGTAGTGGTGGTGGTGGTGGTGGAAAGGAAGTCCTGCGCCAGTTAGGACCAGGCGACTTCCATGACGGCTACACGAGAGGTCAGGGGGAGAGAGAGGGAGAGGCAGTGACATTCTCATCTGTCGCCCAAAACTTATTTAATATTCAGGAACCATCAACAATTTCTGAAATTACTATACCTGTTTCTCTCTAACGACCTTTTTCGCCATTTAACACACCCGGGGTCTAATGAAGTCAGTCCATGCCCCACCTTCTCTCATTCCTATTTTTTTTGAGTCATTCATTACTATTTCGAGTCACTGAATCTTATTTTGAGTCACTGTTTCATAGTTTGATTCACGGATTGTTTTTAAAGTTTCATTGGTTGATTCAAAGGTTTCATGGACTGACTCAAATCTTTCACTGACTCAAAACATTTATTAGCCGACTCATAACTTTTACTCACTCAAAACTTTCACTGATTTGCTCAAAAACTTTCACTGACTGACTCAAAACTTTCACTGACCCGAATCAAAACTTTCACTGATCCGAATCAAAACTTTCACTGACCCGAATCCAAATTTTCACTGATCCGAATCAAAACTTTCACTGATAGACTCAGAGCTTTGACCGGCTCAAAACCTTCAGTGAATCAAAAAAAAAAAAAAAATTCACTCACTCATATTAACAATTTTACCTCCTCTTTCTACCCAGCTTCGCCAAAAATATTTCTGTCGAATCCACAAAATGAATTCTGTTGGGAGCCTGGCTTGCCTATTCACACGAGGAACGCTCCAGGCATATCTACCGGAGGCTAGAATCTCTACTTTCTCTCTCGCTTTGTCTCTTTCTTTCTTTCTTTCTCAAAATTACACTCCAGTTTGGTTATATATGTCTATGTGTGTCTGTCATTCTTAGACAACTGGTGCGCGCTCTCTCTCTCTCTCTCTCTCTCTCTCTCTCTCTCTCTCTCTCTCTCTCTCTCTCTCTCGCTCTCTCTATCTCTCTCTCATCCTCACACCACCAGCATTTTTCTCTCTATCACACACACACACACACACACACACACACACACACACCAATACTCACAGCTCTTGCAGGGTTGATGTGTACAGTGACAGATTCTGATGACTAAGGCTCTGTACACCCATATTTATCAACGTCCTGGAAGAAAAAGAAGAACTAGAGTTAGTGGTGGCAGTGGTGGTGTTAGTAGGTGTTGGGTGATAGTGAGTATTGATAGTGGTGATAGTGAGTGGTGGTAGTGGTGATAGTGAGTGGTGGTAGTGGTGATAGTGAGTGGTGGTAGTGGTGATAGTGAGTGGTGGTAGTGGTGATAGTGAGTGGTGGTAGTGGTGATAGTGAGTGGTGGTAGTGGTGATAGTGAGTGGTGGTAGTGGTGATAGTGAGTGGTGGTAGTGGTGATAATGAGTATTGATAGTGGTGATAGTGAGTGGTGATAGTGGTGATAGTGAGTGGTGGTAGTGATAATGGTTGTCATAGATGGTAGTCGTAGCAGATAATGTGAGTAGTTTATAGTGGCAGAGGATGGTGAAAATCGTGGTAGTTGCAAGTCAGAAAAATAAAAACACATCTACAGGTATTCAAGGCAAGGCAGATATACACACACACACACACATTTCTAGCCCAATTCACACACACACCGCTCATGACACCTACCATCCCTACCCTAGTGATATCGTTAACTACCATGAATACACCATACTTTAATCCCAATGGTACCATCCCCATGACAGCCATCAACTAGAGAGGCGAGACAAACTGGTAAATAACATTCTACGGTCAAATGAACTCCCAATATTTCCTCTATGTATTTTTTTTCCTCGACACTGATTTAAATTGATCGAAAATATATCCTCATATTTTTTTTTTAATCGTTTATGAAATAATTTAATATTTTTTGATCTGACTTTGATATATGTAAATGACTAGATTGGGTTGTAACACGTCAATATAGGAGGAGGAGGAGGGGCGGGGGGTCGTGTGAGTACCAATTGTTGATGGGTGTGTGTGTGTTTGCGCGCGTGTGTGTGTGTGTGTGTGTGTGTGTGTGTGTGTGTGTCAGCCTTTAACACGTCAGCTAACCGCTAACCTAACCTAATTTAAAAGTGAATATTGGGGGGTGTCTTTTCGGGGACGTATCGCGTGTTCGACTTTATGGAAATATATAGACACGTGGCGGTTAGTTATATCACCAGCCTTTCGAGTGACAAAGAATGTGGAAATTAAATAAAAAGCGAGTCCCACAGACCTGGCAGTATGTTCGGGGCAGTGTGGATATAGCACACTGCATACTGAAACTTAGGCATATCAAAATGGCAGTGTAGTTTACATTGCCCTCCACACACACACACACCACCAGAGTGTCAGCGTGAGATAGACTAACTTTTCCAAATTTAAATAAGTTCAGCTGACACACACACACACACACATTATGGGATGGTGTTGGTGGTGGTGGCGGCAGTAGTGGGTGGTGGTGGCGGCGGTGGTGGTGGTGGTGGTGTTGGTAGTGGCGGTAGTAGTGGCAGTGGTAGAATTGGTGGTGGTGGTGGCGGTAGTGGTGGGAGGGTAGTGCTGCTGGAGGCTATGGAGGTTAGAGAGGTGGTGGTGGCGTGGGGTGGGGTGGGTGGGGAGGGCATAAGGAAATAATTAATAATATTTCCCACAAACTTTGTTCTCTCCTTTTGTCTCTCGATTCACAGAAAGTTCCTACGTAGAAATAGTCTCCCTTAATTGAAGATGTGAGAAGTCGTCTAATTACCACACTCCACCCACCAAATATTCCTCAGGTGTAAAATATTCCTCAGTTACCAAATATTCCTCAAGTATAAAATATTCCTCAGGTGTAAAGTATTCCTCACTTACCAAATATTCCTCAGGTACCAAATATTTCTCAGGTACCAAATATTCCTCAATCACCAAATATTCCTCAGGTATAAAATGGTATCAATATTCCCTTGAGACTCGACCGTAAACAAAAAAAGTAATCATTGTTCCTCCATTCACTCGACCCCAAAGTTATGGGAACAAAAACAATTTATTTTATTTGTTTCTCTAAAATCGGGAAGACTTGAATAAAAAAAGAGTAATTTATTGTATAACGGAATTGTGGGGTTAGGTTAGCTTATTGGTGTGTGTCTCTCTCTCTCTCTCTCTCTCTCTCTCTCTCTCTCTCTTCTCTCCAGCGCCCTTCCTCCCTCCTCCCTCCATCTCTCCTTCACTTACACATACTCTTGCTCATTATGCAAATGTTTCACTAACTTAGAAGATTAAAACAAGCCACACACACACACACACACACACACACACACACACACACACACACACACACACACACACACACACACACACACACACACACACACACACACACACACACACACACACACACACACACACACACACACACACACACGTCTTGTTGACCTTTACGCACGTATGTATGTATGAGTATTTATACATACATTTGAGCGTTTAAGAGGTCATCATAATTTCTCAGTCTGTTCAATTATGGAAACAATTTCAGCCATTTTATAACAACAAGTCAGCCACACACAGTAAAGGCCACACTCTTACACTGAGGCAAATTTATTTAATGCAAATATGTAAATTCCAATACCATTCTCAGCGATAATGTGTGAGTGTGTGTGTGTAATATTGTATTTAAATGAGCGTGTGTGTGTGTGTTTGTATATTTTCCGTATATATATATTTCTCTGCGTGTGTGTTTCCATATGTATATGTATGAAGGCGACTTGTGGTCTAATGGTCAGCATGCTCGCCTCGCAAGGGAGCGGACCAGGGTTCGATCCCCGGGCAGGGTGAAACTATGGGCCAGTTACTGTACACCATTTGCCTCTGTCTACCCAGCAGTAATTGGGGACCTGGATGTTAATCGATTTGCTGATCGTATTCCGGGGTAATGATTAGCCAGTGCAGTTGGCGAGCTGTCCACTGGGTCATGCAGCTCGTTAACTCAGGATGTGGTTGTTGTGTTAGCAACAGCTTCTACACCTTAAACAAATTCACGCCTAGGTGGCCCTTGAGCCGGCCATCCTCGTTACACGAGGGGCAACCATTATAGGTTTATATGTATGAATGTATGTGGATATCTGTGTGAGTGTATAATTGTATTCAAGTGTAATTCCATATATATATATATATGTGTGTGTGTGTGTGTGTGTGTATTTTTGTATGCACATTTATATGTGTACCTACAGCTTTTGTATATATACATGAATAAGGCCTCAAAAAATAAAATACATCTAAAGAAATCGGGAAGCGAGTTCACCCAAAAGAAAATGGAGAGAGAGTAATAGAGGATAATTCTCTACAGCGGCAGCACGAACACCTGATGCTTCCCCCTTCCACCCCTCACTGATAGAGACCTTATGGGAGGTACGAGTCACCCTGCCTGTCTTTCTGTTTGTACTGAGGAATTTTACAAGGCAGGATAAAGCGAGTAAAACCTGAGTAAATGTCTAGACTGACCTAAACAGCTCTAACCTAACCTAAACAGACCTAACCTAACCTAAACAGACCTAATCTAACATACCCATACATAACCTAACCTAAACAGACCTAATATAACTAACTTAAAAAGACCTAATCGGACCTAACCTAACCTAACTCCCACTGATTGGGGCGAGAAGAATAATGAAATCTATGTACTCGTCGCTGATTGGCTGAGTCTGATAACCACTTCGTTCGTTGATTGGCCAGACAACCAACATGGCGTAGCGGGATTAAGGATAAAAAGCCCGCATATATTTTGATATACGAGTCTACGTAATTATCACTTTAATAAACCATTTCTACAGACTGTCAAGTACAGCCTATGATCAAACGGGGTATTTTTCCATGATTTTTTCTATAAGGTCCATTCCGTAATTTAGTGTGGGGGAGGTGGTGAGGGGTAGGTGGTGAGGGGTAGGTGGTGAGGGGGAGGTGAGGGGAGGAGTGGTGAGGGAAGTGGTGAGGGGAGGAGGTGGTGAGGGGGAGGTGGTGAGGGGAGGTGGTGAGGTAGGTGGTGAGGAGGGAGGTGGTGAAGGGGGAGGTGGTGGTGAGGGGGAGGTGGTGACAGGGGAGGAGTGGTGAGGGGGAGGTGGTGAGGGGAGGTGGTGAGGGAGGTGGTGAGGGAGGTGTTGAAGGGGGAGGTGGTGAGGGGGGGTGGTGAAGGGGAGGTGGTGAGGGGAGGTGGTGAAGGGGAGGTGGTGAGGGGGAGGTGGTGAGGGGTAGGTGGTGAGGGAGGTGGTGAGGGGGGGGAGGTGAGGTGGTGAGGGGGAAATAGGGAGGAGATGGGAGATTACTCATATATATAAACTCTTTCAATCATTCTATCTGTTTGTCTGTTTGTTATATTTTGTATCTCCTTTCTCTCGCTTTGTCTCTCTCTTTCTCCCACCTTCCCTCTTTCTCTCGCCTTCTCTCTTTCTCTCACCTTCCCTCTTTCTCTCACCTTCCCTCTTTCTCTCACCTTCCCTCTTTCTCTCATCTTCCCTCTTTCTCTCACCTCCCCCACCCCCACCCCCCCACCCCCCCCCCCCCCCACCTTCCCTCTTTCTCTCACCTCCCCTTCTCTCACTTCCTCTTTCTCTCACCTTCCTCTCTCTCACCTTCCCCCCCCCCACCCCACCCCCCCACCCCTCCCCACCTCCTCTTTCTTCACCTCCACCTCCTCTTTCCCACCCTCTTCTCACCCCTCCCCCAGGGGTTCAAGACACAATTACTCCCACTAAATAAACAATAACGTCAACAATATCCTTTTGTTGTTGAGTGTTGTAGCCGAGTTATTAGAGAGAGAGAGAAAAGAGAAAAAGAGAAGAGAAGAGAAGAGAGAGAGAGAGAAGAAGAGAGAGAGAGAGAGAGAGAGAGAGAAGAGAGAGAGAAGAGAGAGAGAGAAGGACCCATCCACAACATGGCCACTGTAGTTAGCTGCGCACAAAGATTGATTTTCAGAGTTCCAGAGATACAGTAGTTTGTTTTCCACACACACACACACACACACACACACACACACACACACACACACACACACACATTGCAATTACAAGTTTCCCCACTATCTTTCTCGCAATGGAATAAGACGAAGAGGAGAGAGAGAGAGAGAGAGAGAAGAGAGAGAGAGAAGAGAGAGAGAGAGAGAGAAGAGAAGAAGATATTAAACGTTTCTTTCTCTCCATTTACATAGAGTGACAGTAGGACCAGGCAGCAAATTGTCCTCTCACTCATTCAGACAGAGAGAGAGAAAGAAAAAAAAAAAGAGAGAGAGAGAGAGAGAGAGAGAGAGTAATTTGCGGCTATAAATTTGAGAGAAGGAGAGACTGAAAGACATAAAGAGTGAGAGAAGTGTGAATGTAACTAAGGGAAACTGATAAATGGTATGAAAATAGTTAATAAAATAATAAGGAGATAAGAATAAATAATATGTGTCAGTCAGTCAACACTCAGTCAGTCAAACGATCTAAAAATCAGTCAGTTAGCTAATCAGTCATTCACCCATAGAGCTAGCTGACGCAGGTAATAAATTACGTGTCTAGGGGCGTGGGTTGTGGTTTTAAGTAAAACATAAAATGATTTATGTTGAGAAAACTTCTTTACACACACACACACTCTCTCTCTCTCTCTCTCTCTCTCTCTCTCTCTCTCAGGCACACATACAGATAGGCAGAGACATACATACACACATACATACAGACACACAGACATAAAGACAGACACATGCTCAGGCAGGAAGACGCCCGGGGGGGGAGGGAGGGGGAGGAGGGGAATAAGATTTACGTAGCACCTTGAAGATCTTAGTGCTTAAGAACTCCCAGATCGGATTCACAGAGATGCCTTAAGTTTAAGTCCTGTTCATTTAGGAGGGAAGTCAGCCGCTTAGATATGTTCCCTCATCTTTAGCCAGAAAAAAGAAAATCAGCTTGGGAGAGTTTTTGAGATGGGATTCGCTAAGCTCTCTTGTCTAGTCCTGGCTGTACTTCTCACGAGATCAATGGGGGAGAGGGAGGGAGGAGGGGGTAGGGGAAGGAAGAGGGGGATGGGAAGGGGGAAGAGAAAGGGGGTAAGGGAGCCTCCACACGAGGCAGCTCATTAAGTTGAGAGGAAAGGGGACTTATAGTGGACATAAATTATAAGCTACAGTGTAAGAAGAGACAGAGAGTAGAGTAGTGTACTTACAGCCTGTCCACGTTGGCGGAGAGGTTGGCCGGGAGGTGTACGATATGTTCTCCCTGGCAGCGACATTCCATCTCCGGGGTAAAGCTGTCGTCGTGTGTAGACCAACAGCTGCAACCTTCACCATCGTCTATTCCCTCGAACCCTGGAGGTAGGAAGCTTAAGTCTGGGCCTTCATGGCTACCTCCAGGAGAACCAATAGGTGAGGGACCACTTGTTCTGGGGTCAGATATAACTCCAGGTGAGGCTGAGAACTCTAGCTGGGTTTGACCTAAATCACTGAAGCCTCCAACATTGTACAGAGTCTTTGAGCCGTTATCTGAAATTTGCTGGGCGGCTCTTGACGTCTTCACCTCCAGAGCCAAAGGTTGATCTTGTTTGGTCGAAGCTTCACTTGTTCTGATGTCAGATGATGTTCCAGGTACGGCTGAGACCGCTCGATGAGTCTCACTAAGAACACCGAGGTCTCCATGGCTGCTTAATGCCTCAGCGCCACTTCCTGAAAGCCTGGGTGGAGTGTTCTCAGAAGGGGCTTTTGTGATCCCCGTATTCTCTGCTGGTTCTGCATTTATATTATGATTCCTGGTGATGCTGATGCTCCTGACGGCGTCGTTAGGGGCTCTTACGTCGGACCCTAAGCTGTAGTTTGCCTCCTCAGGGTGTGAGAGTGTGTGGTGGAGGCCTGGAGGGAGTGTGTCGGTGGTGGTGGTGGTGGTATGTGAGGAAGCTAAACTACCAGAGGGAATCAACACAACATTCGTTCGTTTGTTTGTTGACTCAGTTTCACTTCGTTTTATTCGTCTCCTCCGTAAAAATCTGGAGTTTCGTAAACCAAGAAACTTGGGAACGTGTTTCCTCTTCTCTTCCTTATCCACGCCACCTCTGGTCTCTTCTATCCCGTCTTCTCCACCCCTTCCGTTTCTCTGCACTACTCTCTCTTCCTCCTCTTTCCTACTAACTCTCCCAGCACTTTTGTTTCCCAGGTAAATATCTTCGATGCTATTTACATATTTTCCCGGAAGGAACTCCTTAAGGGAAGGTCGAAGTTTTGTATATATATTTTTCTTGGTTTCACGTGAGGAAAGAAAGACGGTGTGTGGCTGTATTAGATTCTCCTCAACTCTCCGTCTGCCCGAGATACTTCCTCTTGAGGTTTGTTTTCTTGATTTTTCTTTCAGCTGCTTCTGAGGGCGATTGTGTTTACTGAACATCTCTTGGGTATGTAAATTTGTACTTGTATTAATGTCTCTGAGTAAACTTTCTGGGTAAGCTTTCTGACTCCGGTTAACCTTTCCTTGCAACCGGTTGTGATGTTGACCGTGTGTTGCTTTGTCTTGCAGCTGAAACTGATTACGTTTTATTCTTTCTTGCAACTGCTCATGATGCGTATTAACCGTAACTCTTTCTTGCAACTGCTTGTACAAATTATCATATTTCTCACCGTCCAGATACTGTACCTTCCCTCTTGGCTGAGACGGAGTTGGAAGACGAATGTCTCGGCGGGGGTAAGGACCCTTCTCAGGTTTACTCTCCCAGGAATATTGGATCGACGATAAACACAGCCTCGATATACACCCACCCAGGCCAGAGGAATCTTTCATAAATTCCTTCTTTTTAACCTTCTTTGAACTTTCTTCGTGGAAAATTCGGCCCAGAACACCTTCAGAGAACACCGAATTTCTTTTTCCCCTCACATAGTTCATCTCACGGCTCCCAGTACCTTTCTGAAAACCTCCCCGAGTTCTCTTCCTTGAGAACTCGGAGGTAGTAGCGGAAGTGTTGGTGGCAGTGAGGTAGAGGAGGTATGTGGAGACGTTCCTGGCTGCTTCTATGGACCAAGGATGTAGTGGGGAACTTTCTGGACCGAGGTGGATAACTTCTCCTGCGCGTTCCACCTCTAAGTAGTCTTCTTGGTTGAAGGGATCTTCCTCTATCTTCTCCTGGTTCGTTTTCCTCATATGAACCTCCTCTTGATGGTTCACTATACTGTGTTCATTCTCTTGAGGGTTCACTTTATTGTGTTCATTCTCTAGATGGTTCACTTTACTGTGTTCATTCTCTTGGTGGTTCACTTCACTGTGTTCATTCTCTTGATGGTTCACTTTACTGTGTTCATTCTCTTGAGGGTTCATTTCACTGTGTTCATTCTCTTGAGGGTTCATTTCACTGTGTTCATTCTCTTGGTGGTTCACTTTACTGTGTTCATTCTCTATATGGTTCACTTTACTGTGTTCATTCTCTAGATGGTTCACTTTACTGTGTTCATTCTCTAGATGGTTCACTTTACTGTGTTCATTCTCTAGATGGTTCACTTTACTGTGTTCATTCTCTAGATGGTTCACTTTACTGTGTTCATTCTCTTGAGGGTTCACTTTACTGTGTTCATTCTCTAGAGGGTTCACTTTACTGTGTTCATTCTCTTGAGGGTTCAATTTACTGTGTTCATTCTCTAGAGGGTTCACTTTACTGTGTTCATTCTCTAGATGGTTCACTTTACTGTGTTCATTCTCTAGATGGTTCACTTTACTGTGTTCATTCTCTAGAAGGTTCACTTCACTCGGGTACTCCATCTCTAAGCTCCTTACAGAGTTCACCATCATATCGTGAACATTCAAGTACGTCGGCGTCTCGTCCAGTGAATCAACCACGGAACTTGAGTCGAAATGAGTCGGATCACGTAAAAGACTCGTTCGTCGTGAGTCTAAACGAAGCGAACCTCTTGAATGAATCGTTAGTAGAGAGTCATCATCAGAGAGACTTTCGAGGGAAGTTAATCTATCTGAGCTTCTTAACAGCGTTGACAGCTGATGAAGTTCCTCAAGGCGGGTGGCTGGTGCTTTGTCCACTTGCTGGTATTGTAAACTTGGTCTCGTAAATGTGGTAAATTCTTCTTTTTCTTGCAATTTTGGTGTTACTTGTAATGTTGGTGTTACTTGTAATGTTGATGTTAATTGTAATGTTGGTTTTACTTGCAATGTTGGTGTTACTTGATCAGATCTTGAACTCTTAGTCACTGGATCAATCTTTAAAATCTCGGAGCTTGAATAATGATCCGCGTTGAGGGAGAATCCTTGTCGGGATTGGTCAGCCCATTTGGTCCTGGCGCTTACTGACCAATGAGGGCTTACTGGTTCCTTGAGCGTTTTAGAATCGGGCCAATCAGCAGGTAGGGATTCCACGCCTTCTTCTAGGTCTCTTGCCACGCCTTCTATATAACTGGAGGGAGTGACAGGGAGGGGGGCGTGGGGGTTAGAGGGAGTGACAGGGAGGGAGGTGTGGTGGTTAGAGGGAGTGACATGGAGAGACGGGTAGTGACTGGAGGGAGTGACAGGGAGGGAGGTGTGATGGTTAGAGGGAGTGACAGGGAGGGAGGCGTGGCGACTAGAGGGCGCGGGGGGTACGAAGGCGTGGGTAGAGAGGACAGTGAACGCCACACAGATGAACATGATGATCATCTTCCCGACGAAGGTGAGTGAGTGTTCCATCATACACCGCCTGCAGAACATACAAGAATAATCTATTAGTATACATCATACATGAAGACAAGAGTGTTAGTATACATTATAAGCATACATATACATACAAACTTACAACGCTTACTCTGGTATACATGTGTTAAAACTATAATATACGCTTAATATACATGATACAACATACATATATACACATAATACACAAATTAGCTCACATTATACACTACATATATTATAATGCAACAATATACTCTCTTTGTTAACATGAGACAACACCCACCCACCCCCCATCTCCCCCCCCATACACAGACCTCTCACTTAGTGTATCAATCCTAACCTCCACTAATTAGACACAGGTGGGGTGCCTTCTGTAGCGACCACTCTCTGCTAATATTAACCACTGGTTGGCCTAAACACACACACACACACACACACACACACACAGAAATAACTTGTGTATCTTTAGCGCCGTGTGAGCATTATGGGGGAGTTTTATTGGACTACGAGGCACGTAGAGGCGTGTGATGGCGCGGAGAGGAATTAGAAGGAAGGCGTGTAGGTGGTACGTGTAGCTCTTAAGGGGCGTGTAAAGTTATGTGCGTGGGATTGTACGAAGGCGTGTGGGGGTTAGCTAGGGGTCATCACAAGACTCACACACACAGAGCAGCTCTCAGTCAGCTACACCTTGATTAAGACGCCTTCTTGACTACGTATTGGTGGGAGGGAGGGAGGGAGGGAGGGAGGGTAACAGACAGAGAGAACTACAGAGAGGGACAACTACAGAGAGAAAGACAGATAGACAGAGTAATACATGCCAGTAAGCAAAATTAATTAGACTGTACTGACTGTCATCCATGTGCGGCGTGGACGTGAAGCCAAGATACAGTGGCTCACCCCGTCACAGTTGGCGGAAGGAGGTAAATCTCTGGTGAATGGAACGGATATAAGCATTACACCATTCACTTTCTATAGACGCGACTGTGAATGTGTTACGTAAAAGGAATTATCAACAATTTTGGTTCTGATATCTAACTCGAAAAAGAGGTTTGTCAATGAGTATCTTCAAAGATCTCCTGTTTCGTGTGTGTGTAAGGCACTGTGATACGTTCTGAGACAGTATCTAGGTTCTTCTATATCAAGGCGAGGTTATATGTGCTGTACAGTATAGTAGTAGTAGTCTGTCACTGCCACCAGCATCCAGTTGGGTCTGTAACATTATCTAGCAAAGTTGCAGGTGCTGTTATTTTTCTTTTATTTTACGAGGGTGCAAATAGTGTGGTAGTGGTGTTAGTCTCCACACTTTAAAACTTCATAAACTAGAGTGTGTTAATTATCCTGAGTGTTGTGTAGTGTTTTGAGATGCCTGGCTCTTACGTTGCATCATCATGAGTTACTACCACATACTTCTGGGGCAGGGGAAGGGGAAGGGGGGGGGGGGTGGGTTTGATAACAGTTGAATAATCAGATAAACTTAATTATAATCACCTTCATTCTCATTTACCTTGTTATTATTATCCCTTTTTTTAATCTTCCTTTCATTTTCATTTTATGTCATTCCCAGTTATTAGGGTTTATACCTTCTCTACTTCATTACTATACCACATTCTTCCGTTGTCAGGTTCTGTCAATCTCGTCTCCCCAACTTAAATTATGTCTTCCCAACTTGATTTTCCTTACCCTCTGATCATTCAATTCCCATCCAAAACTTTTAAATCACTTCCCTCCAGCACGAGTTGTGTATTATGAACAGACCATCTCATATTACCCTTCCCCTTCCCCTTCTTCACTTATTGTATCTCTTGATTACACCATCTCCTTACCCTCGCCTCTCTCATCTTACTGCTTAAACACGTCTCAGTTCCATCACACAGCAGTAATAGTTCTTCTTCTCACTCTTCTTCTTCTCCTTCTTCTCATCCTTCTTCTTCTCCTTCTTCTCATCCTTCTTCTTCTCCTTCTTCTTCTCAGTCTATGTTAAGTCAACTTCAGTTTCTGTCAACTTTCTTTTATCACAACAACTCCTTCATTTTGTTTATCTTACTCTCACCTCTCACCCCTGTCCCTCACTCCCACACTCTTCATCCCTCACTCTTCATCACTCATCCCTTTCCCTCATCTCTCACCCCCTTCATCCATTTCCCTCTCCTCCTCTGCACCACCTCCATCCGCGATCAACACCCAGCTCAAGCGTTTAAACCTGTCCCGCGCGCGTCAGTCCTTCATTTCTCCTGTCCACAGACCTGATCCCACCTCTTCCCGCCTAGAAACACACACACACACGCACGCACACACACACACACACACACACACACACACACACACACACACACACACACACACACACACACGGAATCTCCTCCCTTTGTCTTCCCGGCATTTGGTCTCGAATTCTGGAACTCACGAACACTCCTGCCACTATGCCACTGCAATACGCTTTTCTGTCTATAGTGCTCTTCCTTATCTGGTACACACACACACACACACACACACATACACACACACACATATAAACAAACACATACACTATCTTATCTCTCTCTCTCTCTCTCTCTCTCTCTCTCTCTCTCTCTCACCTCACTCCTATCTGTTCTGGCAAGTGAATTGAGAACCCATGTCAAACTATAGCCTTGTCCCGTTGGCTGGTGGAGATGGTGAGGAACGAGATAGGACATGGGGGCTTTCTCATGTAGATGGTGGCGACCGATGCGTGGCTGACAATCCCTTAACACGGGCGAGAAATGCTGTCCGTGTGTGTGTGTGTGTGTGTGTGTGTGTGTGTGTGTGTGTGTGTGTGTGTGTGTGTGTGTTTCTCTCTCTCTCTGTCAGTCTATCTTTCTCTTGTTTATCTTTAAGTGTTTTTCCCTTCTCTCTCCTCATCTTTTATCTCACCTATGTCTCTCATAATACATATACACACACGCCACCATTAAAGATACAGTAATTAATATGTACAACTGATACATATATATTATGTAAATGAGGCCACGCTTCATGGCCTAATTATAAACAAGTAATAACCTCATTATGCTGATGTGTAACTTGTGTATTATGTATGTTAATTGTGTTCTACTCTCTCTCTCTCTCTCTCTCTCTCTCTCTCTCTCTCTCATATAATATTAAGTGCTGAAAGCTTATTAGAGTTATGAATGAAAATATAATATATATTTTTTTGACTGCTTAATATAATTAATATTGTAAAGTAATAAAGGATGATATAATTATTAATAGAAGTTAAATATAATTTGTATTGACATTAAGTGAAAGTAGGTCCTAACCCCGATAGTATGGACACTACACCTAGACAGCACACAAGGAGGCACTGAACTCAAACACCTTCATTTCCTCAAGTGTAACGTCAGGTGTCTATTTAAAGCTCGGAAGAATAACCCGAGACTCAAACCAACGACTACCACAGACAGAAGACGAGCGTTATGTCCACTTAGCCACCGCACCCTTAATGGAATCTGTGACGAAAGCCAAGATTAGAAGCTTAATGATGCCAATAAATACAAGTAAGTAATAATAAACATGATATAATTAATGGGTGAAGGAACTACAGTATGGTAAGTGTCGATAATACGGCCTAATTAAAGCAACCCATTCCCCCATTCATTCCTCTATCTATCTATCTGTCTATCTATCTATCTATCTATCTGTCTATCTATCTGTCTATCTATCTATCTATCTGTCTATCTATCTGTCTATCTATCTATCTGTCTATCTAGCTATCTGTCTATCTATCTATCTATCTATCTATCTATCTATCTGTCTATCTATTTTCAGCAGGTTTTACGAGGAGAGAAGGTCGAGCCCCCTCCCCCTCTCACCTCCCCTTCACACACACACACACACACACACACACACACACACACACACACACACACACACACACACACACACACACACACACTAACCGAAGTCAGATACTCGACGTGTCATGTTTCCCTTCTCCAATTACTGAATTGGAAAAAGAATTGAATGAAGGTGGAGAAGGAGAGAGAGAGGAGGAGGAGGAGGAGGAGAGGAAGATGAAAAATAATGACGGAGGAAGAAGGAGAAGATTAGATGCAGAAATGATAAGAAAAGATGAGGGAGAGAAAAAGGAAGAGGAAGAGAGAGAAAAAAGAAAGGATGAAGAGGAGGAATAGAAGGAAGAAGAGGAGGAGGAGAAAGAAGAGAACAGGAGGAAGAGGAGGAGGAGGAGGATGAGGAAGAAGATTCATCAACCAGCTAAATATTTATCTAACCCTTTAAAAATCTCACCCTCCCTCTCACTACCTCCCACCCTCCCTCTCACTACCTCCCACCCTCCCTCTCACTACCTCCCACCCTCCCTCTCACTACTTCCCACCCTCCCTCTCACTACCTCCCACCCTCCCTCTCACTACCTCCCACCCTCCCTCTCACTACCTCCCACCCTCCCTCTCACTACCTCCCACCCTCCCTCTCACTACCTACCCCCACCCCACTCTCTCTCTACCTCCCAGCTCCGGGTTCTCTCTCAGTCTCACATTAGCGAGGTCTCAAACACGATTCCTATCTCACCCTCTTCCCTGAGATGCCGCCGCTGAAAAAGACTTAATAGAGACGGAATTGGATGGAAAAATACTCAGTGTTTTTGTTAACATACAGTATAGGAGGTGAATACAGTCTCTTTCTCTCTCTCTCTTTTGCCTGTATTGAGATATCTCTTTTCTCTCTCTATCTTGTCTCTCTCTCTCAGCAACCGTCCTCGATATAGCGGACTCAATACACAACATCAATATAACGGACTCAGTAACTAGCAATAACATAGCGGACTCAGTAACTAGCCTCCATTAGCGGACTCAATACACACCAATAATATAGCGGACTCAATAACTAGCCTCCATTAGCGGACTCAATACACACCAATAATATAGCGAACTCAATAACTAGCCTCCATTAGCGGACTCAATAACTAGCCTCCATTAGCGGACTCAATAACTAGCCTCCATTAGCGGACTCAATACCAGCGGACTCAATAATATAGCGGAC